TTTGTGGAGGGGGGAGGGGAGTAATTAACCAACAAAATAGCAGGTTATGGAGATCATTAGTATAAGACTTTTTAAAAGTCCTTGCATCAGCACTCACCTGCCTGTACATCTCTGCCGGAGTGCCCAGAATCAAGATGGCGGACATGAAGGAGACGAGGATGGAGATGGAGACAGGGATGATGCCCAGACTACGGCTAGCCATCAGGTAGTCTCCTGGAGAATACACACACAGGAGAATCACACACAATTGTACACGCGGAACTGTGCGTGGTGTTTTCAGAGTTTTACGGCACTTTCGACATAATTAGGTCGTATTATATTATGTGTCGAAGATGAGAGGTGTTGAGCAGAGATGTTGCCAGGGAGTTTGGTTCAGTTTGTGTTAGAGTTGTACGGCATTTGCAGCACGTCTAGGTCATAAGTGCTGAAGATAACAGGTTTTGAGAGGTGTTACTACAGAGTTTGGTCTTGTTTACGAAAGAGTTTTACTGCATTTGCAACACAAATAGGTCACAAGAGCTGAAAATGAGAGGTGTTGAGAGGTGTTTCTACAGAGGTTGGTTAATAATAAGAGTTTTACGGAATGTGCAACACAATTAGGTCATATAAATGTTGAAGATGAGAGGTGTTATAAAGGAGTACACACAGTTATACAGGACCAATTATGCTTGTTTTTTCCAGTGTTTTACGGTACTTTTGACAAATTTAAGCCGTATAAGAGCCGAAGATTATATGTGTTATAACATGTGTGGTCTCTTTCTCTCTTCCTTTTTTGTGTTTGTAACTCTATTGTACTACCTCTAATCTTCGACATGTATATAGCTAGAAAGATATGTGGACATACTGACATACCGACAGACAGACAGACAGACAGACAGACAGACAGACAGACAGACAGACAGACAGACGGACTTTGTATAACAGGTTTTGTGTCCCATTTACGAATATGTTTAGCGCAGACAAATAACTGTCTTTCTCTTTCTCTCTGTTCCGTTACCGTTCCAAAGGCCACTTTCCTGCAAACGCTGCATGTGTTTTCATACAGGTTTAAAAACTGGGGCTTTGGTTGGAGTGCATGTTCAGCTGACCTGAGAAGAGGGGAAGGGGTAGTTCTTTTTTTTCTCCACTTTTCCACTATTTTGTTACGGAAGGAGGTTGGGGGTGCTCGTTAGTTGTTTCTGTTAATGTCGACGTGGGTTTTTTTCTTCATGAAGGGTTTGTTTTTTTAAAATTGCGACAAAATTTTAATCATTTGAAGCCGGACTTCGACACTGCTTTCCGGAGTAAACCTGACATGAGAAAAATGCAATGTCAATGAAAAAAGACACAGCTATTCGATAAAGATTTACCCAACAAGAGGATCTAGCTCGGGTTTTCTACTCGCAACGGTGAAGGGTCTAACAGAATCACCATAGACGCCGGTAAGGTAGATTTGAACTGTTTCCTGAGCGAAAGACGAGAGGTGTTGGTGGAGTTTAGAATGGCGGATGAATCGAATTTTAAAAAACAAAATATTTAGGGGAGTGGGGTGGGGATCTTTAAATGGGGGGGGGGGGGAGGTGGAGGATGGGGGAGGGTGTGTGTTTATGTGTGTGTGCGAGGGGTGGGGTGGGTGGGATATCTGAGAAGATGGTGGAGGAATATGGGTGGTAACAGGTTTGGACGAGGGTGTTTTAAAATGCTATCAGCGCAAATAGAGTCTTTCTTATTTAACCTTCTAAAATTTTTGGACGAGGGTGTTTTAAAATGCTAACAGCGCAAATAGAGTCTTTCTTATTTAACCTTCTAACATTTTGTTAGCTGAAAAGAAGGCCTAACAAAAGCTCTGATTTATGGACATATAACTAATGCCATCAAGGCTAGGTACTTGCTCAGCACAGTCATCCCCGTTTCTCCGCCCAAAATTCACCAGAATCGATACTTACCCTAACCGTGTGGGGTTTTAAGCTCTGTTTTTTTCTTTTTTTGCTCTTATTTTTCAATTATCTCCATAACCGTCCTAACCGCTGTAAGGGGAAATTTGAGGAAGAATAGGGCGGATAGCGATTCCCACACTCTAGGGAAATTGAAGGAGAAGGAGATCCAAAGAGGAGAGGGGCAACACAGCCATCTGTGCGGACCAGTTCGACGGATCTCCAACCAGATTATGATGGAGACTATAAGTAGACAGACCCTGGGAAGGATCCTGAAGACGGGAGGGGGGGGGGAGCAGAGATGGACATGTTCCGACTGCAGTGACCCCAACACAGTGGACAAGTAAGACAAGTAAGTAAGTAAGATACTTACCCTGTGACTCCTGCCTCCGTTGACGAAAAGCAAAAAAGACTCCGATACTCATAGACACCCCCAGCATTGCGGCGAATACCACATAGTCCCATGCCGTGAAATCGTTGCGAACTTGCACCATTGTGGGCACGTTCTTGTTTAACGGCTCAAATTATCTACCTATAATATTATTATTATTCTCTGCCCACCTTCGTGATAAACAGATTTTTCCCCTCCCCTGTTCAGCCGGCATAAAACTTCATTTGTTTCTTGTTCAAATGTTCAAAACTTTTTCTACATGTATCACAAGGATTGTTTTCTTCCAAGTCTCTCTTCAGCTAGATCCAGCAATAAATTATCCTCTGGGGTCTAAAAATTCAGGAGGTCTGCGCCAAAGAGCTTAAAACAAATGGAGCCTCCTCTCTCTCTCTTCGGGTGTCTAAACTCGAGAACTTTGGTGTTTCTTTTTATAGAATCTTATAGGGCTGGACCACGTTGTGGGGGTGGGTGTGCAGGGTGGGGGGGATGCACCCAAAGAAGAGGGGATGGCCCTGGGAGGAAAGATGTGGGGCGGGCCTTGGGAAGGGACAAAGGAGAAAGGGAAAAATTAAATAAAAGAGAGAGAGAGAGAGAGAGAGGGGAGAGAGAGAGAGAGAGAGAGAGAGAGAGAGAGAGAGAGAGAGAGAGAGAGAGAGAGAGAGAGAGAGAGAGAGAGAGAGAGATTGTGATCAACTGACGGAATGATGCATAGAATTACAGGGAGAAAAAAATTAAATGTTTGTGTATGATACGGACCGTTCAATTATTTAAGAGTTCTATGTTATAGTTAGTTTAAAAAATAAGAAGATCGTCAATGTAAGAAGAAAACTTGACAAAGTAACATAAAATTATTAAATATACCAAATTATAAAGATAATCTTTCAAGACGCTAAAAGTAAAAGATTTAATTATGATACAAAATAGTGAAAGATGCCTATTTTCAACCCAAATTAGGATATAACTGCAATGATTCTAGGAGTGTGCCATAACTAGCTTTATGTATAAAGAAAAGCGAACACAAAAGAGGGTCGATGCCAGCTTTATCTGCTTGCTAACAGTATTATGTCTTGGTCTATTAATGATAGTAGGTCTATTATTGATTACAATAATTTTGTTTCCTGTATTTCACACAGTGGAGCACACAATAATTTCAAATATTTTAAAAAAGAGATAACAGCACCTTTGGACTTTTCGAATGAGATCAAAACCTACTATTATTGATGTAGGAATCTGTTAGTTTGTTTCGTTTCGTTCCTCTGTCCTTATTAATGAAGCAATCACTCAGCAGCCGTTCATGGTGATGGGCAATCATGTTGACATACTAATAATATTATTCTACATGCCTCCCTGATAATTAAAATTTGATGGACATTGGTAACCTATGAGGCGGCCTTGTTGGCTCTACCTAACGAATCATGCCTTGGCTTTAAGCTCGGGCGGTAGGCTCTTACTCTTATTGCGAGTTCGATGTTCGGCAAAATCAAAGACGTCAAGGAGCTCACACATGGGCGTTGTCCCTTTGTCGTAAAACTTGCGTCTGGAGCAAACTTGTACCTTGCATTGAGAGTTAGAGCAGAGATGAGATCGCGTGCATGAGCGTGGATGACCTTCGAAGGTGGTTGGGGTTTTTTTGTTCAGTATAGTATGATATGGAAAGCAGCGTTTTTTAGTCCCTTCACACTTCAAAGGGGGATAATTTATCTTAGAGATGACTCTTGTGTTGTAAAATATTTTGATACTTTGTTTGGTTTTGTTTTTTTTATAGCGGAATCTTAATTAAGTGAATCAGAATTATGGATTGTGGGATCTTAGGTGAAGACTATAACTATACCCCAGGTTGGCCTTGACAGGCAGGGCTGGAGCCAGCCTCTTATAAATGTTAATGATCTAAATTATGTCGCTGGGGGCATAAAACACTTTCATTCAAATTTTTAAAAATCGAAAACAACACATGTGAAAACTTCTGTCCACTTCAGCATCATATCGGTTCTTACACTTAAACATAAAACAGGTGGAAGGAATTTTTACTAATTGACTTGCCTAATCTCAAGGAGCTCGGAATAAAACCTTCTTTCTAATTATTATCTAGATTTCAGTGCGTGAGACGGGCAGCGCACAGTGCAGGTAGACCATAGTTCCGCTGCGGGAGAGGGCTCCTATCAATCGTGCGGTGCCGCCCACAGAGCATTCCCCATTATTGTAACCTCCTTGGTCAGCGTATCTTCTTCAAGTTTATTTCTTTACCTGCAGAGCAGTATTTGCATTTTGTTGGTTGGTTGTTTATTGTTGTTGTTTTTTCGAATGGGCTCAGAATTTTATTATATCTATTACGTGCTTGAGCCTGATTTAAAAAAATGTAATACGACGCTGCCCTGAAAGCTAAACAAATATGTGCTGGTAAATCTCAGGGAAGATGTTTTGTATAAAACTCTTATGTCAAGAGGATTGCTTCTTGTAACAGAAGTTACCGATCTTTTTAAAAGTTTGGTCTGTATAATTTTCCTTGCAATAATCAAAACAAAACAATTGTTTTTGTGCCCTTGTTTGGGTTTGTTTTTGTTTGTTAGTTGTTGTTTTTTGTTGTTTGTTTGTGTTTTTTTTAATTGGGGTGTCTGTAATTAAGTGGTTGAAGCTTGCAATGCCTTATTTGTTTTGGGGACTTTAAAAAATTTGTTTTCCGTTTGTTTATATATATA